TTTGACGTCTGGTCGGCCACTTGCCTGCCCTGCGGCTCCGTCGCCGTCTCCCTGGCCAAGATTGCGGCGCTCGTGCTCTTCCTCGCCCTCCTTGTCGGCGTCACCTCTTGGATCATCTCGTCGAACTGGGTGCCGAAGCGCCGCCTCGCGAGGGACGTCGTGCACTTTGTGCGCAAGTACGCGCTGCTGTGGCGGCAGTCGGGCATGACGGGCAAGATGAAGATCATCATCGCGATGGTGCAGTGCATCTGGGCGGTGCCGTACGTCTATGACATGGACATCCCCGAGCAGTTTGACTCGCTGCTCAGCCTGTTTGGGTGGATCACCGCGTTCTCTCCCGACATCTTTCTGCCCGGTGCGTGCTACGGCTCGTACCTCGTCCGGCTGACGGTCTCGTCGACGTGGCCGATCGTCGTCTTGGCGCTGATCGCCCTCAAAAACATCGTGCAGGAGGGGGCGGCGCGCCGCAAGGTTGCCGGGACGACCTCGCTGCGCGAGGAGAGCGCCAACGAGGGTGTGACGGGCGCGGTGGGCGCTCCGTCGCCGCCTCCGTCGCCGCCGCCGCTGCCGCCGCCACTGCTGCCGCCGCCGCCGCCGCCGCCGCCGCTGCCGCCGCCGCCCGAAGCTACGCAGTCCGTGGAGCCGCCGCCGCCACCGCCGCCGCCGCCTATGTCCGAGGCGGCGTCCCCGCGGGTGGCGACGATGCTCATCACGACGCCGCGCGCCATGCTGCAGCGCGTCTCCAGCCTCATCTCCCCGCGGGGGCGGATCGCCTTTCTCGACGCCGTGGGCCTCTCGCGGCTGCCGCCGCAGCCGGGTGACGGGCCTGGGCGCGGCTCGAGCGTCAGTGTCACCAGCTCCGACGCCGAGGCCCTGGAGGCGAGCGAATCGTTCGGCCAGCGGATCCGGCGCCAGGCGCGGCAGCTCTCCTTCCGGACGGCTGGCAGGAACGGGTCCGCACGCGCGGCGCTCGAGGTGCGGCGGGTGCAGTCGTCCGCGGACGGGGCGGCGGGTGTGGTGGGGCGGGGCCTGCTGCGCGCGCTGCCGCTCACGCTCTTCCTCACCTTTGTCGTGGTGCCCTCCACCTCGGAGCGGATCCTCTCGTCGTTCAACTGCGTCGAGTTCAGCACCGCCGACGAGCCATACGAGCTCCGCGCCTACCTCGCGGACGACCTCACCCTCGACTGCGCCTCTGCCGAGTACGCTGAGGTGGAGCTGTGGGCGTGCGTCTTCCTCGTCATCTGGCCGGTGGGCGTGCCGCTCTTCTACGTGCTGTTGCTGCTCGCCGCGAAGCGCGCTATCCGCGACACGCGCTCGACCGCGCTGACGCGCGCGAGCAGCTTCCTCTGGGCCGAGTACGAGCAGCGCACCTTTTGGTGGGAGCCGCTCGACCTGCTCCGGCGGCTGACCATCACCGGCTTTGTGCTCATCGGCACGCAGGGCTCGCCGCAGCTGCGCGTGCTCATCGCGCTGCTTGTCACCATCCTCTTCATCACGATGCAGTTCCTCCTCTCGCCGTTCAAGCGGCCGCTCGACGACCGCATGATGATGCTCGGGCACGTCTGCCTGCTCGTGATCCTGATCGCCGCCCTCGTCATCAACGTGTGCAACCTCTCGGCCGACACGTGCGAGACCTTTGGGATGGGACGGACGAGCTACCTGCCCGCGCTCGTGTTTGTCGTCTTTGGCACGGCGATGCTCGTGTCCGCCTTCCTCCTCCTCGCCTGGGCGGCCGGCCGGTACGCGACGACGCTGCCGACGCTGCGGCTCGTCGAGAATGGGCTCGAGCCGCCGCTCACCATCGCGCAGGGCGACAAGTGGCATCTGTTCGTGAGCCACGTTTGGTCGACGGGGCAAGACCAGGCGGCCAACATCAAGCGCGCGCTGCAGGTGATCCTGCCCGGCTCGCGCATCTTCCTCGACGTCGACGACCTCGCCGACATCAGCGCGCTCGAGTCGGAGATTGGGCAGAGCGCGCTCGTGCTCATGTTCCTGTCCAAGGGCTACTTTAGCAGCCGCAACTGCCTGCGCGAGATCCGGTGCGCGGTGCAGCTGCGCAAGCCGATCGTGCTCGTTCACGAGGCCAACGAGGCCAAGGGCGGGCTCACCCTCGAGGAGTCGATGAGCGAGTGCCCCGACGAGCTGCGCGACCGCGTGTTTGACAGCCGCCGCCGGCTGGGCATGGCGGGTGGGCGCGCCATTCAGTGGCACCGCATTGCTGACTTCCAAAAGATGAGCCTCAAGCTGATCGCGGAGCAGCTGCTGCTCGCCTCGCCGCAGTACGCCTCCACGTGCGACGCGCTGCCGCTCTACTTCCCCGGCGAGATCTCGGCCGACGCGCTCAGCTTTGAGCTGCCCGTCTGCCTGCGCTTCAGCCGGCACAACTCCGGCGCCGGGACGGTGGCCAAGGAGCTCGCGTCGCGGTTCCGCGAGCTCTCGGTGGCGCTGCTTGCGGAGCCGAGCGACGCCTCGCCGTGCGAGAGCGGCTGCTCCTCCGAGTCGGACGCGGCGACGGCGGGGACCGCGCTCACCGACTCGGCCGCGCTGGTGCGCGAGGTGTTTCTCCTCTACCTGCGCCGAGGCACGTTTGCGGGGGAGGAGGGCCACGAGCTCGCCGCCGACCTGCGGGCCGTGCGCGCGGCGGGCATGCGCCTGCTCGCGGTCCACGAGAATGACCCGGCGCAGGGCGGGGTCGCCTTCTCCCACTTCCTCACCACCACCCCCGAGGACCTGGTGGAGGGCGGGCTCTACTCGAGCCTCGCCGTCGCCTTCCACGCCACACCCTTTCGCGAGATTAGCATCGCGCTCGCCGCCAAGGCGATGGGCGCGAGCAAGCGCATGGGCGCCCGGCACGCCGCGGCGGGCCGGCTCAACGCCGCCGCCGCGAAGACGGCGGCGGTGCTCGCCTCGTCGATCCACCTCTCGTCGCGGCACGGCTCGGCCCGCTCGGGCGCCTCGGGCCACCGCTCGAGCGTGCGCCGCACCTCGGACGTGACGTCCGACGGGGAGGAGGCGCAGGACACGGTCGGCTCCCTGCCCGGGCTGCGCGTGGCGCCGGCGGGGAGGTCGCAGCAGCTGCGCCTCGGCTGGGCCGGCGGCGCAGCGGGCTCCCTCCGCTGCTTGAGCGGCGGCCTCGCCTCGTCGCCGCCGGCGGTTCCGGTGTCGCGCGTGTCGACAGGCTGCCGCGCGGGCGCCGAGGTGACGCTCGTTGGCGGGGCGCGTCGGCTGGAGGGAGGAGCGGGGGCGGTGGAGGAGGTTTAGCGGTGGTGCCGAGGTCACAAACCTGTCTTTGGTGTTTTGCATGGGTTCATCGCGCATGTGTGCATGCGGTTCGGTCTATCGTCTGTCAGTTGGGCCTGTGTGCTCTCTTGTACGTTGTGGGGCATACAGCACCCGACTTGGAGTACAGCACTTGGAAAAGCGTCGGGGGAGCACAGCGGAGGGGATAGACGAGGGAATCGAGGGGCCGGAGCCGGGCTTTCGCGACAGCGACGATGACGACGAAGGCAGGGGAGGAGACGGAGGGGCGACACGCAGGAGGAGCGAAATCGCGAATGGCCCGAGCAGAGAGGGCGACGGCGGAGCACGAGGGAACAACGGAAACGCTACCAATGACGCGAACCGAGGCATGGGCGACGACGGGGACGGGGAGGGCGACAGCGACGTCGAGGTTGACGCGCAACGGTATCGAGAGCGCCACCCAAAAGGAGGCGGACAGCCATGGAAGTCACCGAATGGAGGGCGAACGGCACGACACGAAAAGGCAGGGCGAGGCGGATGGAGAAAGAAGTGCCGAGGAGGCCATGGTGGAGGGGAGGGACGGGAGGACGAAAGAAGGGCGAGGAGGACGAGCGGCCCGCACAGGCCGCGAGCAGACAGCGCCTGCTGGCCATCTCGAGACATTCGCAAAGAACGCTAGCCACATGGGAGGGCTTCGTGAAGGATGGATTGAAAAACATTCGAACAAAGAAGAGGCGACGGGAGGAACCGGCAGAGGATGCAGTGACGTGAGACACACACACACACACACACACACACACACACACACACGCACACACACACACACACACACACACACACACACACACACACACACACACACACACACACACACACACACCGCTCACCCACGCGCACCGGGCCTTGCACTTTAAATGCCGTGGGGCTCCTGTCGTTAGACGTGGAGACGCGAGGGTTGCCCCCCCTTGCCCCACCACCTCGTGTGTGTGGAGAAGTTTACCTTACCTTACCTTACCTTAGCACTTGGAGCACTTGGAGTGCAGTCAGCAACCGCACATCCAGGGCCGGGGAGCTAAGAAGCGCACCCAGCGGGCCGGATGATTGGCATCGGGTTGCGGGCAAGAGAGCCCTAGCCCTGGGGGTGTGCGTTCGCAGGGCAAGGGCCGTAAAGTAAACACGGGTCTCCGAGGGTTAGTTCCGTGTACCGGGTCTCCCCTTAACTTCAGAACGCCCCCTCTACTCGGAGCTAGTAGACACGACACTGTACACCACGCACGTACACAGGTCCTCGCTCAGTATCCCGTCTCATGGTTCCACCGCTCGCCCCCCCGGGGCTCCGGTTCTCCCTGATTCGCTCTTTTATTCGCCAGCCGAGCGTCGTGTGAGGTGTGACGGCCGCTGTAGCCGTTTCTGATGTCTCTTCTTTGGCCGAGGTCTCACCTCCGCTTCACCTCCGACTGGTACTGCCGCCTCCGAGAGCGTCGACTGTCCTGCTGAAGTTTCCCCAGGCGAGGGCGGCGGCGCATTGTGTCGTGTCGCCTGCATCCCTCCCAGGGAGGTCGGGCCCGCTCTCCCTGGTCGACGAGTCGCGCCCGCGCCCGCGGCCTCTCTATCGTTCTCGGCTCGCCCCTCCCCTCCGCCGGCTCCTCTTCAGGCTCGGGGAGGCGTGGCCCTCCTCGTCGTAGATCGCAGCGGTCCAGCTGCCGCCGCGACGGGTCCACCCCCGGCGAGCTCGTACTTCCCGACTCCACTCGTAGAGGCCGCGTCAGCTCATCTCTCGCCTCCTCCGACAACTGACCCCAAGCTCCACCTGGGGTCCTCCGGTCTCGGCCTTTCGGCTCGCCGGCGTACCCGTTATCATTTTGCGGCGACTCCCACCCCTCGGTCCCCTCCCCCGGGTATTCCAACCTCCGACGGAGCGGCTCCGGGTTCCCCCAGGTCCGCACGGATTCGTACGGTGACGGCCACGCCGGCGGCGGGGGCGGAGGTGGGGGCGGGGGTGGCGGAAGCGGTGGCGGTACTGGCGGCCGCACCGCCTGGTATGGGGCCTCAGGGGCGGCCCCTCGACCCAGCGGTCGCTCCAACGGCGGGGGCGGAGGCGGTGGTGGTGGGGGCGGGCCTGGTGGCGGTGCCGGCCGCCACAGCTCCTGGAGCGGGGCCTCGGGGGCGGCCCCCTGCCCCTGCGGCCGTTCCAGCCGTGGTTCCACGCGTCGGCCGTCCACCCCGCTCGTGGGGGGGGGCCTAGCTCTCGTCTCCCCTCGGGAAGGCGGGGGGGGCAGGGCCCGGATTCGCCGAGGGCTCCGCCTCTCCCCCCCCCCCCGCCCCGCATCAGGCCGTAGACTGCGCAGTAGTCGCGTCGCCTCCCCCCTCACCCGGTCCCTCTCGATTCGGTCCCACACTGACCGGATATCAAAGGCCGAGTTGTGTTCGGATAGCGGGCCCGCCGATGCCACCCGCCTCTTCACACAGCAGGCGTACGCCTTCATCGCTTGCCCCCCCGACTGTGTCGGCCCCGGTGCAATGTCGTTGACGAGATAGTCCTCCCCCTCCCACCGGAAACCCGTCCAAGAAGGTCCGTCGAGCCAACCAGTCGTCTTGCCAGGCTCCGCACTTCCCGCGGCTGCACTGGCCTGAGAACGCCGGTGCTGGCCGCGAGCGACAGACCGATCGCCCTAAGTTCCCCTGGCCTGTTGGAGGTGTATTCATTATTTTTTCTTTTTTTGAGAGCCCGATCTGCGTCACCACACGCCGCACCGCACGCCTCGCTTACGGCTCCTCGAATGATGCATCGCCTCGCTGGCTCCCTCATCCTCTCGTGCCTGGCGCTCGGCGCCGACGCCGCGGCGCTCCGGCGCGCCGGTCAGCCGGCTGAGCCGGCGCCTGAGGCGGCGCCAGCCGCCGCCGCCGGGCTGTCGCACGTGCTAGTGGTCTCAGCGGCCGAGGGTGTCGCAGAGGAGAAGCTGGTCGGCGTGCTGGTGGAGGCGGGCGCCAGTCGCGAGGAGGCGAGCGCCGTGGTCCAGCGTGTGGCGGCGGAGGGCGAGAGCGCCGTCGCGCAGGGACCCGAGGAGGCAATGGCGAGGCTCAAGGCGGCCTTCAGTGCTATTGGGGTGGAGGCTCAGGTCAAGACGGTCGAGGAGCTGCAGAAGCAGCTGATGGCGGACGCGTCCGAATTTGCCGGCTCGGACGTGACCGAGCTGTCCCTCGACGACGCAAAGGCGAGCACCACTCCTCCACTGCCTCACTCCTCGCCGCTGCCTCTCTCCTCGCCGCTGCCTCTCTTCCCCGCCGCGGCATCGCCCACCGCCGCCGCGTCCGAGGACAGGAGTGGCTCAGCGGCGAGGAGGGCGTGCTCGTCGCCTTTTACGGGAACGCGTGCCTAGATGCGCAGTGCAGATCCGTGCACGCATCCAGCTGTAGCCTCTGCATTCGTAGCCCTGGTCTTCGAGCGGTGCTCCACCGCACGATACCGTCGACACGCCCCGACGTTGATTGGTGTGTTCATGACGTAGGCATGCGTGCGCGCACTGCAAGTCGATGGTTGGCGCCTTCAAGGAGGCGGCGACGGCGCTCAAGCCTTCGGGCGTCCGCGTCGGCGCGCTCAACCTGCAGGCGAGACACCTTTCTACCCCAAAACACCTTTCTTCCATACAGACACCGTCCAAAGGCGAGTGACGTGCCCTATCACAGGCGATCGCCGGCGGCGCCCTCATCGCGGAGGCGCTGCAGGTGCAGGCGCTGCCGACTGTGCGGTTTGTTGTCGGTGGAAACCACCTCGAGTGCGCGCACAAGCACCAGCCCGCCCCGCGGCAGAGAGCACGGCCGGGGCCCGGCGCCACCACCGCGAGAATGCCGCGACACGAATGGGCGGCCAGCACCGCACCGCCGCCGCCGCCTCCTCCGCACGTGCCCCGCGGCCCCATCAGGTACACTGGGGATCGCTCCTCCCCCTCGCTCATCGCCTTTGCCTCTGCCGCGCACAAGGGGGACGCCAAGACGCCGGAGGAGACCGCAAAGGCGGCACGCGAGGCGGCGGCGGCCGCGGAGGCGGCTGCCAAGGGCGAGGCGCCGGCGGCGGGCGCCGCCGAGGCGGCGGCGGCGGCACCGGCGGCGGCGGAGGCAGCAGAGGCGGCGGCGGAGGCAGCAGAGGCGGCGACGGAGGCGGCGGCGGCACCGGCGGCGGCACCGGCACCGGCGGAGGGTTCGGAGGGCGAGAGGGAGGCGGCGGCGGCAGAGGCGGCCGCCGAGGGGGCTCCGGCAGCCAAGGGGGGGGAGGCGGCGGCGTGTGCGGAGGGGGAGGCGGCGGCGGCAAAGCCGGCGGAGGCCGCCTCTGCCGATGCGGAGGGCGCCGCGGCGCCGGTCGAGCCGCCCGCCGACAAGGCGGCAGGGGCGGCGCCCGCCTCGAAGCTGGCGCAGTCAAGGGTGGCTCCTGCGGCCGCCGCGGCGTGAGTGGGCGGTTCGCCCGGTCGGCCGCGCGCCTCTCCCGCCTTGGTTAGATAGGCCAGCCTGCAGCCTGCCGACCGAGCAAGATCCCTTGTGGCTTGACGCGTGTGCCCCCGACACCGACGCACACCATTTTCCATTTTCCCGCGCGTCAGCTCGGACAGCGCACAGCGGCGAGGACACATCGACACACGTATATCGCGAGGGTAGCGCACGGGTCCGCGTCCGCAGACGGTACGTACCGGCGGTTAACCAGAAAAGCCGTACTGGGCTGGGTGTTTATTTAGGCATTGTGGGCGGTTGGCACTCCCGTCGACCCTCATGACCTCCTGCGGTCTCTGAGATGGACACCAGTGGGTGTGGGGCCACAGCCAGGATACACTCGAAGGCTGGGTAAGCAGTAGAGGTCGATACTCGACGCGTCCCACATGGTCTGTGTCGCTGTCGGCACGCTGTCGACAGGACGTCGAGCGACACCGGTGGCAGTGCCACCCAGGAGTGGTCGGTCGGTCTCCCGTCATGAGAGAGCCACCATGTGATCCGTATGATGGTTCCTGACAACCGCCTCAGTCAACTTTTGTCACAGTTCCCGCTCTGAGAGGAGCTGCGGGTCAGTTCGACAGCTGGAGCTGTGTCGCCGGCGTGCGGCGGCCTGCCTCCGGAGGTGCCTCTGAGGTGGACATTTTTTGTCACCGTGGGAGAACGCGTTCGAATTTTTACTCCGGAACTTAAACTTCACACGCGCACCGGCCAGGGCTACAATAGTGCCAGTGAGGCGGAGGCGCGAGTCGGAAGGCCGCGACCGTCAAGTGTTCCCTTCGTTAGCTTTTATAAAATGAACTCGGGGGCACGGGACGCGGCACAAACGTCGTTTGAGCACTTGAGCACTGGATAGGGTCGATGTAGAGGATGTAGAGTGTAGAGCGCTGGAGAGCTGTAGAGCTGTAGAGCGCTCTGGAGCGCTGTAGAGCTGTAGAGCTCTACATCCGCCGCGGCACAGAGCGATGCAGATGTAGAGCGATGTAGAGGCCCTCTACAGCGTGAAATCTCTACAACAAACTCTACATCATAAGCGGCGAACGAGGCACGGTCGCTCTCCGACATGAGGCGCGTTGCACTTGCCAGTGCTGCCCTGGCCTTCTGTCTGCCCGCCCAATGGGTGGCAGTTGCCTCTGCTGCTGTGGCATGCCTCACGGCTGCGACTGGCCGGCGCCTCGGCGCGTCAGCTCGGCTCGGCGTAGCGATCGTGGCCAGCGCAACTCGCCTGGACTCAACGCTCAGCCAGGAGCTCCCGCACGCGCTGGCGCGAGTCATGGCGCATGCAACGCGTCTGAATGCTCGCCTCGCCTCGCGCAAATGCGACCGTCCTCGTTCGTCCCACTGGCTGTTGGCCCGTCCCCACGTTACCTCTGTTATCCCTCCTCCTCCGCGACTCCCTCAAGGCTGGCCGGGCCTCCTTCCACCCAGCGAAGAGCTTCCTCAGCCACTCAATGTGTTCCTCTCTCTTCATTATGCGCGCGGTAGCCTCATCGTTGAACTGGATCCACCTCTGCACCGCTCCCGTCGCCGCCTCGGCCACGACTTGCAAGTTCCTCGTGACCCCGGCGCCAAGGTCCCTCCGGCTCTTCTCCGAGAGGTCATCTACCAGTGCTGGCAACACCCCCCCGACGGCTGGGGCTAGTGCCTCGTACCCGTCCTCATCCAGCACCCTATAGCGTGAGCCCTTCAGCGCAGCGACATGCGCTATCCTCAGCGTCTTCAGTGTATCCTTGGAGTCGGGTGCCGCCTGTGCTACTTTGCTGATCGCCGTCCCCGTCTGCGCTCGCGCTACTCTGAGGAACCATCTGGCCTGCTCCCTATTCCCCAGGCAGGCGCCGCTAAGCAAGTGCGCCATTGTCGCCCTAGGCGGGTTCTCATCTTCCTCGGTCCATTGCTGCGCGGCTTTCCGCACGATCGGACACAGCGGGTCCCGCTTTAGTGCCGCCCTCCTCGCCGCGTCCCTCGCGGCCTTACATACGAGGCAGCCCCTGAGTTCGCTCCTCGTGGCGGCGCCCGGGGTCTCTCTCCCCGCCTCTCCCTGCATGATCCTCTCGTGGTGCGCTCCGTGTGGCACCCCCGCCTGCTGCCGCACCCGCGCTCCCATGACGTGATCATCCACGTCGGCGAATTGTATCTCACGCTCGCCGTGCTGATCCTTGATCCGCTGACGCGTGTCCCATTTGTGTCTCGTCGTTCCCCTGACCACATCGCTCCACAGCGGCCCAGGCACCCCCGCCGTGTGCGACCCCGCCGTGAGCCCCTCGCCGAGCCGTCCTCGCACCCACTCGTTCGTGTGGCCGCGTGTGGCGTAATAGGTCCTCCGGTCCAGTACGTCTCCCCTCCACTCTCCGCCTGCCGTCCTCCGGCGGTCCGTGTATAGGCACGGGCGTGTCCTCACTGCTCCTCGGATGACGGAGGTGGCATCCTCAATCTCGCTGGCCCCCATGTATGCAGTCGCCGCGGCGTCGGCGTAGGCGTTGCTAGCGCACCCCGCGTGGCTCGGTATACCCACAGGAACGTGACAGATTCGAGCTGGGCGCGATATCGGCATATCCCCTCTAACATCCCTCGCTCAAGGATATGCCCCTCCTCGATCCCACTCCCTGAGCCCCTCAAGAGGGCCTCTTCGGTACGCCGCCTCGATTTGCTGTAGCGCGGGCTTGCAGTCGCTCAAGACGAGGCACCTCCTGTCCGCCGCATCTTCCGACGTCGCCATCTTACGCAGGTAAGCCAGCACCGCGTACATTTCCGCGTCTATCACCTGCCAGTCGTCTGGCAGTCTGCCGCCCCACAGCCCCTGCCCAAACGCGAGCCGCAGCTCATCGTCCCCGCTCTCGAGCTGTCCAGATCCCTCGACGGGTCTCCCGAATCGGGCCGGCCCTTCGTACACCCCATACGACACTACCGGTCGCGGTACGAACCTATCCCCCACCCACTTATTCGGCGCGTCTCTCCCTCCATCCGTCGCAGCGAGGTGCGTGAATGGCCGCGCTCTGTGCAGCGCGAGGCATATCCTGGCCACCTCCGCGTTGAGCTCACGGCCCTTCCCTGAGCCGAGCGGCCCTTTATCCTTGCCCATCATGACCTGCGTCCCGTTTCTGTCGGGCAGCGCCCGTGTCCCGACCTCAAACTCGTCCCACCGCAGTAGGAAGCGCGTAAGCGGATCCTCCTGGAGTTCGGCGTCTCTTACCCACGCGCCGTGCCTCGGGGGCGAGCCCTCCATCTCTCCTAGCCCCGGCACTAGACTACCCCTCCCACCTCCTCGCGTGTCGCCAGTTGAGGTCTCGCTACTCCGCTCGGGGGCTCTTGCTCTTTCAGCTCGCACGGCTGCCGGTATCCGAGCGCCTCCTCACTCGCCCTCGCCATCTCTTCCGCCACGTCGCCGGCGTCACCCCCTCCCTTGAGCACCGGAGCTGGAGTGGAAAATGTGATCTTTGCAACGGCGGGGAAAAAGAGAGAAATTCGCCAGCCTTCCCAATAAATAAGCCTGTGATAGGAAGAGGCGGACGCCCAAGGGTGGGCGACGGCTAGCGCATCACACCCCTCTCCTTAAAATCCCTGTGTGCAACCGGTCGGGAGGGCCGCGGCGACGAGGCGGATCGGCCGACGGTCGGGTGTGCGGGGCGAGCCGTAGTCGGGCGGGTCGTGGGGGTGGTGTGCGGAGTGGATATACTGAAGTGCCCCACATCGCTGCTGGTCGTCGTCCGTCCCCCCCAACAAAAAAAAAGATACCTTTGCACGAAAGACTTAGCAGGGCGTTTTGATGGTCGGCCTGGGCCGGGTAAGCGCAACAAAACCTGTGTGGTGGCGGCGTGCCGTCCTCCCATCCCTCCCTTGGGTTGTACGTTTTCTTTCTTTCTTTCTTTTATATGCCTGTGTGCTGTGTGGTGCACGCCCTGCGAGCGGGGCGGGGTCTGCCCGTCGGGTTGTCGCCCAATCTCCCCAGGATGATGTCTGCTCTATGACCCTTTTGGGAAAATGCTCTCCAGAGGACTTGAGACTTGAGTTGTAAAAGAGGCGCCTCCCAACCTATCCACACCCTCCCCCCAGCAGTGCGGCCACAGAAAGCACGTATTTTGCCTGGGCTAGTTTGTTGCAGCCCCACAGCAAGCGCTGCGTCGATCCTAGTCTGGTCGATTCGCGGCACTCACTGGGTGCCAGGGAGGGAATGCCGCCGACACGCGACACGCGAGCGGTGCGTCCTGGCAGCGCGCGCCGGCTGTGGGGAACCGCTGCAACAAAAACTCGAGGCGCTTTTTGGGCGACATTTTCGACGCTTTCATTACATTTCTGTGAACTCATTCCTAAAAAGGGTATCTCTATCGACGGGCGCCGAGCCAGGGTCTCGCACCCGGCCGCTAAGGGGGTTCACCCAAGGGCGTGCACCTGCTCACGTCGTGGCACCATTCGCACGCCGTGCACACCTTGCCGTTGCACGGGCCCGGCATGGGTGTCCCAATGTCGGGGAACTCCATGATGTCCGTGGTTTTGTACTGGCCGACGATCGGGCACGCGTAATTATCAAAGGGGACGCACTCTCCGTCCACGCACACGTGGTATCTGAAAGAGCCCCGCGTGGCGCCGCAGATGTTCACGTGTTGCCGAACCACGAAAGAGGCGGCCGCGCCCGGCGGCGCAACGAGGGGCGCGTCCGACTGGCAGGGGTCACACGGAGTGAAGTTGGGCACCTCAGCGCACGAGGGCGGGCTCGCCGCCGGTGGCGATGGCGGCGCAGGGGACGGCGGTGGCGATGGCGGCGGCGATGGCGGCGGCGATGGCGGCGGCGATGGCGGCGGCGATGGCGGCGGCGATGGCGGCGGCGATGGCGGCGGCGGCCCCGAGCACGCGCAACACGGAGGCGGAGGTGGGGGAGAGCCGGCCAGGGGGACGGGCGGCGGCGGAGGCGGCAACGGCGGCGCCGCGCGGGGAGTCGGCCGGGACGACGGTGGAGGCGGCGGCGGCGTGTCATACTCGTAGAGGTAGGTGTACCAGTCTGGGAGGGCTCGTCTGTGCGCAGCACCCTCGGCAAGCTTGTTCTCCAGCGCCGCAATCTGGCGCGCCTGCGCCGCGACTTGCGCCTGCAGCGGGCCGACAATGTCGGCGCACACAGTGCCAGCTTCGCCAGACGCGCTCGGCGAGGCGGCGGCGGCGAGCAAGAGTGGCATGTCGGCGTACTCGCGTAGTACCGTCCCCCCCCTAGTGCCGACAGAGACGCCGTTATTAATTATTAATCATCGTGTGTGTGTGTGTGTGTGTGTGTGTGTGTGTGTGTGTCTGTGTCTGTGTATCTGTGTCTGTGTCTGTGTCTGTGTGATTGTGTGATTGTGTGTGTGTGAATACTCACTCACTCCGACTCACACATCGGGTGTTCCGTTGGGGGCGGGATTCCGTTGGGGGGCGGCGGCGTTGCGCGGCGGCAGAGCGGTGCGCGGGCGGCGGTGCGGGCGGCGGCGGCGGCGGTGGCTGCCTTCCACATGCGTAGCTGCTCGGGCCGGGGGAGGGGGAGAGCCTCCTGTTCCTCGGAACGTGCGCAGGCCCCCCCCCTCTGCATCGCCACGCACAGAGCGGAGCCAGCTTTGCAGCAGAACGCGCCGCCTCGCCGCAATCGGTGAGGGGATCGTGCTTCGTGGCGCGGCGTCCGGCGATCGTTGGACACGTCCCTTGCCCCTTCGACGGCGAAATTCGGGACCCTTGGGGCTTTTGGAAAAATGCTCTCCAGAAGACTTGCGTTGTAAACTTGGCGAATCTCAACCTATCCACACCCTCCCCCCAGCAGCGCGGCCACAGCGGCGTTGGCTTCGGCGGCGGCGACGTCGAGTGCGGTGCGCCCGTCTCGGTTGCGGACGTCCCGCCTCGCACCATGGCCGAGCAGCAGCCTCGCCACGTCGGCCTTGCCCGCCTGCGAGCCAAAGAGCGTGAAGCCGCTCGCGCACAGATGCAGCGGCGTCGCGCCGTCGTGGTTCGCCGCATCCACATCCGCGACGGCCTGGAGCAGCGCGGCCGCGCACTCGCACCGCCCCATCTCCGCGGCGGCGTGCAGCGGCGTGCAGCCCGAGTGGCACGCTCGCGCCGTGGCGGAGCAGCAGCCTCACAACGTCCGCATGGCCGCAGCGGACGGCGCGGTCGAGGGGAGTGATGCCGAGCTTGCTCGTTCCGTCGTCGACGAGGCGGGAGAGGCCGCGCGCCTTCGCGTGGTTCAGCAGGAAGTCGACTGCGTCGGCGGCCCCCGCCCCCGCCGCGTGCATCACCGTCGTCGCCCCGCGGTCGCCGCATGCCTCGCCGCCACGTCGGCACCCCGCTCGTCAAAGGCCTCGCGCAGCAGCGCCGCGTCGCCGAGCATGGCCGCGACGATGGGCGCGCCGATCGGATGCTCCTGCCCGCCGCCAGAGGAGAGGTCGCCGAGCGTCCAGGCGCGAGAGATCGAATCCCACGTCGCGGGCGCGCCCGCGGCGTCGACGATGCGCAGCGGCCCGTCCACCGCCGACGCCAGCAGCTTCGCCTCGACGACGCCGAAGAGGGTGGTCATCATGCGCTGCCCGCCCGCGGCCAGCTCTCCATCTTTGCGAGCCACATCTTGCGCAGCACCGCCTCGCACTGCGGCCGGTCGGCCTCGTCGGTAAGCTGCCGCACGCCACGCTCCCGCTCCGCGTGTTTGCGCGAAAGGACCAAAAGTCCGCGAACTCCTCGACGGCGAGCCTCGGCCGCCCCGTCAGCACGAGCGGGTTCATGCTGTGCGGCGTGAGGAAGTTCGCCATCTCCTCGAGCCGGCCCCTGAGTCAACGAGCTCGTGAAAGTTAGCAATGCTCAGAAGCCGCCGCCGCGCTGCTGCGGGATGCTGACGTAGTCGAGCCAGATGAAGGCCCCCTCGATCTCGGCGGCGAACTTCTCCGGCGTCAGCTGCTTCTGCAGCGCCGTCAGGGCCTGCGCGTGCGAGCTCTTCACCTTCCTCTTGTCCACCCCCTTTGCGAAGGCGTCCCAGTCGTCCGGGTCAAAGAGGGCGGAAATTGCAGCGCCCCCCTGTTCGACAAGTGCGCGCAGAACCCTCTGCAGTGCGCGCAACTGCACGCACGCGGGATCCGGTGAGGCGAAGGAGAGCCACTGGTGCGAGATGAAGAGCACCGACGCGCCCTGAGGCGCCTCCACGACTCTGCCGTCGGCGATGGCTACTTACCCGAGCTGCTGTCTGTACAGAGATGCCAGCACCCCCCACAGGCAGAGCGCTCCTGCTGGGGGGGGGGGGGTCCGGACCCCCCCAGCAGCAGAGCGCTGCTGCTGGGGGGGGGGGGGGGGCGGCCATGGCTTTAGATGTGCAGGGGGGGGGAGCGAGCCGAGTGTGCGGCCGCTCCAGCAGAGTCGCCGACGAGTCGGTCCGCGTGACTCCTCGTGTCCCGCACTGTTCTCACACATCCATAAACTCACTTTGGCCTCACTGAACTCTGAAGCAAGCCCCTCAATCCTGAATCCTCAGATTTTAGATTAGGACGCTGTGTCTGCCCTAAACAAAGAACCCTGCACAAAGATCGCAAGGGCGGGGGCCTGTTCCTTTTTACCCATCTCACAGTAGAGAGGTGTCCGTTTTTATTTACTCATTACTGCCCCCTAGGCCTAAAGCCGTAGCTGCATGCGGGGAGTGGGGGGGTGGGGGGGTTGGGGGAGCCGATCTCCGCTGGACGCTGGGCTCGCTGGTCGCTGGCGCTCGCGCTGCACGCCGCTGGCGCCGTACACACGGGAATTTGTAAATAAGGTCCCGGCCCAAAAATCGCCTGAGTGTTCCGCAACTCCACGCTCCGCGCACCGCCCGCCGCGAGCGACAACCGGATTTTGTCCCTCAGAGCGCCCTCCTCTTGCTCGCCGTGTTCATGTACGGCCGCAAGACCCACTCGTTCTCCACCTCCTCCTGGTCGATGGTGCCGAGCTTGATCTGGTAGAGCCGCAAGTCGAACCGCGGCCCAACCTGAGGTCCGGTGAGGCCGATTGCTGAGGCCACGAGGGCGTCGCGGCGCGGCGCGACGAACCGCACGCGGGCGGGCGGAAAGCGACACAAATGCGCACGATCGCGGGCGGTGCGGCGCGGTGCGGCGGGCGTGCAGGCTGATCACCGCGAGCCGGCCGGCGGCTGGTCGGAGTGGCGGGCCGGCCTCCTCGGCGCACCCGCGATGCAATCTCGGCGCAATCTCGGCGGGACGCTGGCGCCTCGTACAGGTGGACGTCCGCCTTCTCCTTTGCGTACACGTGGTGGCGGAAGGAGAGCAGGTCGGCGCGGTTGACAAGCGAGACGACGCGCTTGGAGTCGGGCTTGGGCACCGGGAAGAGGTGCCTGCGCTCGTGGGCGAGGGTTCGGGTCCTCGCGGGGGGGTCTCTTCGGCGCTCTTCTCGAGCGGCGGCGCGGCGCGCTTCAGGATCGTCGCCACCCGCGCGCCAACCTTGCTCGTCAGGTTGTCGATCACAAGGTGCGGGTACGCCTGCGAGGCGGTTCCGAGAAGGCTCCGAGAGGGCTTGGGGAGGCTTGGGGAGGGCTTAGGGGAGGGTTCAGAAGGTGGGGAGGGGTGGGGTGGGGGTGGGGTGGGGTGGGGGGGGGGGGGGGAGCGAGCGAGCGAGCGAGGGAGAGGAGAGAGAGAGAGGAGGAGGAGGAGAGAGGGGGGAGAGAGGAGAGAGGGAGAGGGCACCTCGGACATGTTTGTCGCGCCCTCGATGTCGTGGCGCATGGTGACGTTGGCGAGGCCGAAGTAGGCGGTGGGCCCGTGGGGCATGTGCGACACGACGAGCCTGCCCAACCGCAGGGGTGTGGGCGGTGAGCGTGAGGGGCGGCGACGGGGGACGGCAGCAGTGGAAGGCGCAGGGACGGGGGAGGGCAGCAGTGGCGCAGGGGCGCAGGGGCGAGCGGCATCCAGACGCGTGGGAGCCAGGAGGGGGAGTGCTGGACAGCGGGTTTGGGGGCGCAGCGGCAGCGGCCGTCGCGCGGAGGAGGCTGCGGCCGAGGCGTCCGGGAGAGGCGGCACACTCTCACCCGTCGGGCACGCCACGGTGCTCTTGCAGCACAACCAAGTCGGTGAAGCCGTCGGCGCGGCAGGTCTCGACGATCTGCTTGACGGTGTGGCCGCCGCGGTTCATCCGCGACGTGTTTGGGAAGACCAGCTTCATCTCCTTGAGAAACTGCACCAGCCGCGAGCTGGGGTCGTGCGAGGTCGTGAGCAGGATCCGCGGGTCGGCGACGCCCGCGCTCGCGTACTCGGAGTCGAGGTCGGGGGTGGAGGAGCTTGGCCCCGGCGCGCCGTTCAGCTCCATCTCGGCGAGCAGCGCGTCCGCCTCGCCGCGCAATTCTGTCGGCACCGTACGGCCTTCATCGACGGCAGTGCGCAGCTTGCGCTTGCGGTCGGCGGTCGACGCTTCCTTTGCGTCCGCCGCCCGCTTCTGCATGTACTCGCGCCGCATCCGCGCCTGCTTCCGCAGCATCGTGGCAAAGGCGGGATGGGTGGGCAGATCTTGCTTGGTTGCAGCGAGACGGGCGGCGCCAGCGGTGGAGCCTCGTCGCTGTGGCCTTGCGAAAGAATTTTTTCCCGCTGGGCGGGCCGCCGGACGAGGCAGAAGAGAGCGACGCGACAGAGGACGAAGTGACAAGGGAGAGAACGACGAGAGTGGGACGACCGCGAGGTGGCAGGGAGGTTGCAGCGAGAATCGGCGAGAGACTGCGGGGAGCGCACGCGGCGGCGACGAACGGGTGGCCGTCGTTGTCGAGGTCGTGCTCCACCTGTGAACAGCGTCTCTTCACACCTCTTGCTGTGAACGGGTGCCCTGTCGTTGTCGAGGGCGAGCTCCACCTCTGCCACCGAGAGGGCCACCCGCCGCTTGCTCCTCCTCGCAGCCTCCCTGCTCGCCCTGCGAGCGCGGCAGGACCCCAGCGCCTCCCTCGCCGCCTTGTTGCGCGGCTCGACATCGAGCGCCGCCTGAGGCGGAGGCGGTGGCGGGTGGCGGTGGCGGGTGGCGGCGGTGGCGGTGGCGGCTTCGCCTCAGCAACCTCATAAAGCCTCCCCCAGCTACCTGTATCAGGCTCGGACTGGACACCAGCGCGGTATGGGTGGACGCGGGACAGATGATGACGACACGCACGAGCGACACACAGACACAAACAAGCTCACAAGACACACAGCCAGCTGGCTGGCTGCCACACACCCTGAGTTGGCGTACACATAACTCAGGGCCACATCCTCCCTGTCGCCCCCCCCAGCACTCCAAGGTGCCAAAGACAACAGAGATAGAGCACTATCACAGGGAAAAGAATTCTCGCTTATCGCACCGCGAAATGCTCGCCTCCGCCCGCTACGAGCTGCGGCTCGCCGCTCTTCCGCCCGATGCCCTGATCGCGATCACCGCCGGCGCGATGCGGGACAGCCCCGCTGCAAACAGGAGGGCCGAGGCGCTCCTCGCCCACCACAGCCCTCCGCCCGCCGTCGCGACCGACGTCCTCGCGGACCCGGACCTTGCGCCATGCGTGCTCGAGAAGACGGGGCTGCGCCACGCGGCCGTGTGCAAGCGGTGGTCCCTGATCTGCGCGCCGCGCGGTGCCTTCGCGCGGCTGGTGGAGACCGCTGGCGATGCCTCCTCGGAGCTGCAAGCTGCTGCGCTCGGAGAGCTCAGGCGGCTGTCGGGAGAGGAGGCCAGCGGCAGGCGGATGGACGCGCTCGTCGCTCTCTTGCGTGTTGGAGACGAGGACGAGAAGGCGGACGTCGCGGAAACGCTCCGGGAGCTTGCCGAGGACGGTGAAAGCAGAGTGGCGATTGCTGCGGCCGGCGGCATCGAGGCCCTCGTCGCGCTGGCTCGCGACGGGAGTGAGGCGCAGAAGGCAGAAGCGGCGGGGGCGCTGTGGAACCTCGCTATCAACGACGACAACAGCGTGGCGATCGCTGCGGCCGGCGGCATCGAGGTCCTCGTATCGCTGGCTCGTGACGGGAACGAGGGGCAGAAGTTTTGTGCGGCGGGGGCGCTGAGGATTCTCGCTGGCAACGATGAACACAGCGTGGCGATCGCAGCGGCTGGCGGCGTGGAGGTCCTCGTGTCGCTGGCTCGCGACGGGAATGAGGCGCAGAAGGAGCGTGCGGCGGGGGCGCTGTGGAGCCTCGCTGCCAACGACGAACTTAAGGTGGCGATCGCCGCTGCCGGCGGCATCGAGGTCCTCGTGTCACTGGCTCGCGACGGGAATGAGGAGCAGAAGGAGGGTGCCGCGGGGGCGCTGTGGAACCTCTCTGCCAAGGACGACAACAAGGCGGCGATTGTTGCGGCCGGCGGGATCGAGCTGTTCGTTGCTATGGCTCGCGACGGGAGTGAGGCGCAGAAGGAGAACGCTGTGGGGCGCTGGCGAACCTTGCTTACAACGACGACAACGAGGCGGCGATTGTTGCGGTCGGCGGCATCGAGGTCCTCGTGTCGCTGGCTCGCGACGGGAGTGAGGCACAGAAGGAGGAAGCGGCGGGGGCGCTGTGGAACCTCGCTATCAACGACGACCTCAAGGTGGCGATCGCTGCTGCAGGCGGAATCGAGGTGCTTATTGCGCTGGCTCGCCACGGGACTGAGGCGCAGAAGGAAGACGCGGCGGGGGCGCTGTGGAACCTCTCTGCCAACGACGACAACAGCGTGGCGATCGCAGCGGCCGGCGGCGTGGAGGTCCTCGTGTCGCTGGCTCGCGACGGGAATGAGGAGCAGAAGGAGCGTGCGGCAGGAGCGCTGAGGAACCTCGCTGACGACGACGACAACGAGGCGGCGATTGTTGCGGCTGGCGGCATCGAGGTTTTAATGTCGCTGGCACGCGACGGGAATGAGGCGCAGAAGGAGAATGCGGCGGGAGCGCTGGCGAACCTCGCTCTGGACGACGACAACAGCGTGGCGATTGCTGCGGCCGGCGGCATCGAAGTCCTCGTGTCGCTGGCTCGCGATGGGAACGAGGGGCAGAAGGATTGTGCAGCAGGAGCGCTGTGGTGCCTCGCTCACAACGACGACAACAAGGCGGCGATTGTTGCGGCCGGCGGCATCGAGGTCCTTATCGCGCTGGCTCGCGATGGGAATGAGGCGCAGAAGGAGCGTGCGGCGGGGGCGCTGTGGAACCTCTCTGACAACGACGAGAACAGCGTGGCGATCGCAGCGGCCGGTGGGATCGAGGTCCTCATGTCGCTGGCTCTGGCTCGCGACGGGAGTGAGGGGCAGAAGGAGAATGCCGCGTGTGCGCTCTGCAACATGATTGAGGTAGCACCTGCCACGCACGAGGGCGTCGTCGAGGCTGGCGGTGTGGCGGTCCTCTCAACTCTCACGCAGGAGGCAAGCGCCTCGGACCTCTGCAAGCTCGCTGCTGCCATGGCCCTTGTGTACCTGGCCAGCACCCGTCCCGACCTCCCCGCTGACGACACTTGCCTCTCGCTGCTCCTCTCGCGGCTCGACCAGCCCGAGGATGATGGCTGGCGCAGAGACAGCATCAACGCCCTCCTGGCCCTCGCAACCTCCTCGTCTGCGTGCGCTGAGCAGTGGCACCGGGTCGGCGGCGTTGCGGCGCTACAGGCGCTCGCTCGAGAGACGGCGGGGGAGGGGGTGGAGAGGCAGGCGGAGAGGTGCAACGAGGCGCTGGTCAGCCTCGGCGTGAGGAGGGTGCGCAGGCGGACGGCCGCGTGAGCCGCGTGAGCTGTCTGTTGAGAGATCGAGTCTTTCGTTGTTTAGAGAAGACAGGTGAAAGTCCCTTCCTCGCTTTCAAACAGATCCAACGCGCAACGAGTTCTTTATTTTTGCGCCGCGAAAAATGCTCGACAGCCACTATCCGGATATGCAACGCGGTGGCAGGTAAAGTGAATGATTCACCGTCGCAAAACTGCATTGGGTCTCGAGTTCGAATCCCGCAGTTCGACTCGGCGCAAAAAACCCAGACGGGCGTTGTCACTGGTTCGAAACCCACCATAGCGTTCACCTGCTATCCGCCGGTACCCAAACCGGATGCATCTCCGCACGACCCAGGAATGCAGTTTTGCGACGGTGTATCATTCATTCACTTTATGCCACCGTTGCATATCCGGATATGCAACGGTGGCATAAAGTGAATGATACACCGTCGCAGGCGTCCCGCTCCCGGTCGTTCTTCGTCATAGCTCCGATTCTTCCTTGCGTTTACCGTTTTGGACGTCGGTTCTTGACTCCTGCACTCCTCTCCGAGCGACGCGAGGGCCGCCCCCCCTTGCTTGCCCCCCACCTTGTGTGTGTGGAGAAGTTTACCTTACGGCTTTCTTAGAGACCTTACCTTACCTCCTCCGGAGCGCCCCCCTGCGGCCCCCCAAATAGCAGCGCGATCAGCCGGTCCACCTGCTGCAGAAGCCCTCCCTCAGCGGCGACCCCTGTGCTCTCGTTCGCCGCCGCCACCGCCGCAGAGAGCGAGGAGCGCGCGTCCAGCCCCAAATGCGCACAGATCCGCGAGACCTTCTGCGGCAACGTAGCGCCGTGGAAGATGCCTCCGACGCCTCCTCCCACAGCGTTGTTTGCGGTTGTCGGTGGCGGGGCGGCCGGTGGGCCTAGCTCTAGCGCCGCGAGTCGCATGGTGAGCGCCTCCTCGCGTGCCGTCGCCGCCTCCGCCTCTGCCCTCGCCGCCTCCTCCCGCCCCCTTGCTTCCCCCTCTCGCCCCCTCGCCTCCTCCTCCCTCGCCCTCGCCGCCTCCGCCTGCAACCTCGCCTGTTGCGCCTCTAACCTCGCCTGTTCCGCCTCTGAGCCCGCCCGTTCCGCCTCTGACCCCGCCGTCGCCTCGCGAGCCCTCGCCGCCAGCGCGTCGGACCTAGCCTGGGAGAGCGCCTGCTCGATCGCCGACCGCGTGCTGGACTGCTCAGCCTGTGACGTCCTCAGCGGTGCCGCGGCCCGCGCCGCCTCCTCCTGCCGCGCCTGCGCCTCCATCTCGTCCACCAGCGCCGCCCGCGCTGCTCGCTTCCGCTCCTCCTCCGCCGCTCGCGCCGCCTGCTGTCGCCTGCCGCGAGCCTCGCTCTCCGCCGCAGCCGCGGCCGCGGCCTCGGCCCTAGCCTCCCTCTCCAAACGCTCCTCCCTCTCCCGCCGCGCTGCCTCGAGCAGCCTCGCCTGCCGCTCTCGCTGCGCCGCCCGCTCCGACTCCTCTGCCCGTCGCGCCTCCTCGGCTGGCGTCACGCGCTCCTCGTCGCTCCCTGAAGCCGACTCGCGCGCTGGCGCCGCCCTAGAGGTGGAGTCGCCGCAGTCGGCCGATCCCTCTGCTCCTTCGGTTGCGCTGCTCCTCGACCCGCGAAAGCCGCTCTGCTTCTTCTTCTTCCTCCTCCTCCGTCCCGCCTCCTGAAGTGGAGGCGGAGCCCTGGCCGCAGCTTCCTCCTCCAGGAGCTCCGCCGCCAGCTGCTGCCGCCGCTCCGCCTCCGCTGCAATGTCCTCTGCCGTCTGCGACGCCGCCGCTGCCGCAGCCCGCTCCTGCTCCTCCCTGCGCGCGGCGAGCGCTCGGCGCGCTCGCAATACATTCTCGGGCACGGACGACACGGCGCACGGATCGTCGCGGCTCAGGGAGGCGATGTTGACCGGCTGGTTACCGGAAAACAAGACCTTGTTTGAAAAGCGCATCGCGAGGCTGTCCGGCTCCAAACCCAGGCCCACCACCTTACCACGCGAGCCGCGCACGAGGATGCCGCGCCCGACGATCTGGTCTTCTCCGGTGAAGTAGAGATGCTCGCCGAGAATGAAGCCGCCAGGAAGCGAGGGCGCCGGCTCGCGGCTGAGCTCTTCGGCCCGGCAGTGCACGTCCCCTCGGTTGCCGGAGAAAGACATGGAAACAGCGTCAGCGTCGCCGTTGCGGGCGGGGCCGGTGACCGATCCTCGGCAGCCAAACACGGCCTTGTCCCCCTGCTCGTCGACGAACCCTCCGCCAATAAAGTAGAGCTCCTCTCCAACTCTGAAGCCACCGGGCAGGCTCAGCTCGTGGGACAGCGAGGCGAGTTTGCAGTTTATCCAGCCTTTGTTCCCTGGAAACCGCATCTTCAGGCCGTTGCCTTGGTGAAAATCGGTCGCGGGGCCGACGACCTCGCCCGACTGGCCGTGCACGAGCTTATCGCCATTCTCAAACGACTTGTTCGAGCCCGTGTAGTACAGCTGGTCGCCAAGGTCGTGACCGCCCGGCAAAGGTGGCGGCTTCTCGCGAATGAGATTGGTCAGAGAGCAGTCTACGTTGCCTTTGTTCCCCGGAAAGAGCACCCCGAGGCGGTTGCCTTGGTGTGTGCCCTCGGTCGCGGGGCCGACGACCTCGCCCTGCTGGCCGTGCGTAAGTTTGTCGCCATTCTCAAACGACTTGTTCGAGCCCGTGTAGTACAGCTGGTCGCCAAGCTCGTGACCGCCCGGCAGAGGCGGCGGCTTTTCGACGCTGAGCCTGAGCAGACGGCAGTTTATGGAGCCTTTGTTCCCTGGAAACAGCACTTTCAGGCCGTTGCCGTGGTGCACGCCGGTCGCAGGGCCGACGACCTCGCCCTGCTGGCCGTGCACGACCTTATCGCCATTCTCAAATGAATAGCTCGGGCCCGTAAAGTACAGCTGTTCGCCAAGCTCGTGACCGCCCGGCAGAGGCGGCGGCTTTTCGACGCTGAACTGGTACAGATAGCAGTTTATGGAGCCTTTGTTCCCCGGAAACCGCATCTGCAGGCCGTTGCCGTGGTGCTCGCCGGTCGCAGGGCCGACGACCTCGCCCTGCTGGCCGTGCACGAGCTTATCGCCATTCTCAAACGACTTGTTCGGGCCCGTGTAGTACAGCTGTTCGCCAAGGTCGTGACCGCCCGGCAGAGGCGGTGGCTGCTCGCGGCTGAGCGTGAGCAGAGAGCAGTTTACGTGGCCTTTGTTCCCCGGAAACAGCAGCTGCAGGCTGCCTTGGTGTGTGCCCTCGGTCACGGGGCCGACGACCTCGCCCTGCTGGCCGTGCACGAGCTTATCGCCATTCTCAAACGTCTGGTTCGAGCCCGTGAAGTACAGCTGTTCGCCAAGGTCGTGACCGCCCGGCAAGGCTGGCCGCGCGCCGCTGGCCATTTTCGGGCTCTAAAACTCTGGCTGCGCACGCGGAGGCGGCTGAATGGCTACTCGAGTAGGCGGCCGGCTGCAGATGTGCTCCAAAAGAATTCGTCGCGGGCTAACTCGAGCGCGTCGGAGAGGTGTTTAGGCGGTCACACACAGTCGCAGATGGCTTTTTTGGTTCTTTTCCAGGTCGTTGGACTTCAAAATTCTTTTCCACTCCTTGCCCGGGCTAAAACCGGCGCCATGTCCCTCCTCGACCGCTACATGGACGACCTCGAGTCGCGCCGCGAGAAGGCGGGCTCTGATCCGTCCGACTATGAGGACGTGGGTGGCGTGGCAACGGAGCAGCTTCGGCAGATGCAGGCCAAGAGAGAGAGATAGGAAGAGGCAGACTCCCTAGGCGCTAGGGTGGGCGACGGCTAGCGCATCACACACCTCTCCTTAAAACCCCTGTGTGGTGGCGGCGTGCCGTCGTCCTCCCATCCCTCCCTTGGGTTGTCTGTTTTCTTTCTTTCTTTACGGGACTGGCGCGCACTGGCACTAACACAGGTACACCATGAGGGAGGGCGAGACGATCGAGGCACGAGGGGTCCCGTACCATGCGGAACCGACCCTATCCAGTGCTCAAGTGCTCAAGGTACACCAAGTGTGTGCAAAAAAAGAATTTTAGAAGAAAACTCCCTCGCACGAGCTGCGTATTCTCGTATTATCTTCAAGTATCAGATAGTTGCGTGGGGGCGGTACGTATTCTCGTATCAATCAGACCCACACCGGACGTGGCGCATGATAACAGACACGCCCAAGCCTGCCTGTTTGTCTGTTTGTTTGTCTGTCTGTCTGTCTTGAGAGAGATTTTGTTGCTGTCTTGTGTCTCGCGCAGCCTGCTTGCTTCGCGGTTGCCTGTGGAATGTCAATCAGCTCCGTCTACTCTCTCGTGCAACTCAAAATAGAAAGAGGTCTGGGCGTTCAAACCCGGCCCGTACCGACGACAAAAGGCGAGCTACTACGCTTTGCTATTGAAACCCGGCTGCCTGAAACGGACAAATAAGCGAGCGCGTCCCGGTGTGTCGCGTCGAGCCTCTCGCCCCTCACTGTTGGCACGCTGCTGATGCTGCTGGCTTCATCCGCGATTGCGCTGCCGGTCGGCCTCAGCCGCCGGCTGCGGGTAGAGCTGGCAGCCGAGACGACAAACTACTCGTACGATGGGTCGTCCTATGCCGAGCCATGTGCGCAACCCATTTGCCCCACCCCCTCCCACTTCTGCGGCCTAGAAGATAACGCCACCGCATATCACCGCAAACACGAGAGCATCGCCAGCAGCTCTGTCGGCCGTCCGATGGGAACATCAGTATTCTCACCGGCCCGCGGCCCCTTCGTAGACTCGTACGACGCCGAGTCACCTCCCTCTCCGCCATATTACGACGAGTCGCCGGAGCCGTCGCCTTCTCCCTCCCCAGAGCCGTCCCCCGTTCCCTTTCCCTCGCCCCTTCCGGATCCCATTCCCTCTCCACTCCCAGAGCCCTCGCCTGTGCCCTCACCTGCGCCCTCGCCGGAGCCCTCTCCCGGTCCGAACGATCCGCTCGACCCTGTCCCGAGCCCATCGCCGGAACCATACTCTTACGACGGCGATGCGCCTGACGATCCATACTCGTACGATCTTGACCTTGTCCCGAGCTCCCCCTCGCCGCCCCCTCCGTTTCCGCCGCCTCCCTCCCCATCCCCACCTCCGCCACCGCCACCTCCGTCTCCGCCACCGCCGCCTCCGTCTCCGCCACCACCTCCCTCTCCGCCGCCGCCATCGCCGCCGCCGCCATCGCCGCCGCCGCCATCTCCTCCTCCATCGCCGCCGCCGCCATCTCTGCCGGCCCCATCTCCACCCCCGCCCTCGCCTCCGCCACCGCCGCCGCCGCCACCGCCGCCGCCGCCACTTCCACCGTCGCCATCACCGCCACCGCCGCCGCTGCCACCGCCGCCGTTGCCACCGCCGCCGACGCCATCGCCGCCGACGCCATCGCTGCCGCTGCTTTGGGGCAGTGCGAGGATGTCCTCGGGCCACAGCAACAACTTTGCCAATCAGGTGCTCTCCACCCCCCACACACGCACAATTCCAGGCCGTAGGTGCTCTTACCGCTCTACGTGCCTCGTAGTTCATGGCCAAGGCTGCCGACGGCAATAGCCGCCCCTTTGGCAAGAGCAAGGGGAAGAAGACCAGCCCGTGGTTTTCCGCCAAGGCTCCGAGCACACAACTCGCTTGCCGCCTCCGCCCTTTCTCCCTTTGCACGCGTTGGAAAGTGCCACAACCGAACGCCGCAGAACCCTGCTAAGCACGCGCTTTCCTAACGCCAGGCCAGCTCAACACCCATCAGCGCTGTGACTGTGACCCCCGACACCAAGAACAAAGCCTCCAAGGTCAAGAAGTACCTTAAGGGCTTCGAGATTTGGGTCGGCGCGACAGCTGGCGACAAGGCGGTGAAGTGTGGAGGACCGTTCGCTTGGTCAGTCATCAAGCGGGGGCCAGTGACCGCGCAGTGCGCCGCCGCAGCACCCACGTGCGTCTGCAGATCCTGCCACGCCGCACACCACACTGGATCAATCCCATTTGAATGGTGGTGTGCGGCGCTCCTAGCTAAGGTCCCCCCCCCCCCCCCCTGGCCGCACGCGCTCAGGCACAGCTATGTTACTGTCGTTCTCCCGGGCAGAAAGAAGACGCTTGGATTTGGCGAGATAGAGCTGCATTAGTGCAACTTCTCGCTTCCTGGGGGGCAATTCAAAGCATGGGCAACGACGAGCTGCGCCCTGCCCGCAGCGCCGGAGTATATTGTCCAAGAGGCCGCGCGTCGCCTGCATGGAGGCGGCACGAGGCGCGGCACGTGCCCCGCACTGCTTCAGCATTTACCATTTTTTCGCCCATTCCCCAGGCGCGGCCAGAGGGCGCGCAGGGGGGGTAGAGGTGTCGCGTGTGCGCGTGAGAGCGCGCGAGGGTTGTGTGTTTAATAGGAATTTCCATGCTAGTTCTCCGACCCCGCGCGAGCGTCAGCGACCCCCAGCGCCGGTGCCAGGAGCCAGCGGGCCCCTCATGCCTCAAAAATCTAATTCGGGCACCAAGTAGTACACCAGTATGGACAGCTTCGATCACAGCTTACACGTTACAGAGTGTGTCACAGCGCTCTGCATGTGATCCACGCGGCCGCTCGGGCGAGCAAACCGGGCGGCGCGGCTCCTCCCCCCTCCGCCGCCGGCTCGCTATGCGCGAGAAGCGCGCTCGCCTCATCGTGAAGAAGCCTACGGCCGCCGTAGGTGGGGAAGGTTGGGGGTGAAGGGCCAATGCCGTAACGTAGTCCTGTCGTAGGCCATCGAGTGGATAGATCTCGTGTGGATCTCGGCTGGATCTCGTCGTGTGGCGCGCCTTCGCACTCCAGGGTCAGTGGCGACGATGACGCAAGACAGCTCGAGGTCACGCCGCGCCGAGCGCTCCCCAAAGTTGGACGAGCCAACGAGCGTCGCGACAGGTCCCGACGCATCAAAACAAGCCGCGTCGCCCTGCGCCCCCGCCTCGCCCGCCAGCGCCTCGCCCTCCCCGGCCTGCGGACGCCTGACGCCGCCGCCCACCACCTCGGCTGCCGCGGCGGGCCACAGCCAGAGGCCCTTGGCGTGATAGGTCCACCCAAGCCGGCGGTAGTGACGCAATCGCAGCAGCGGTGCGGTGGCGGCGGCGGCAGCGCCATCGCGGTCGCCCGCGGCCGCAGCGTCGGCCACCGAACGCGCGTGGCGGACGAGGCTCGCCTCCAGCGCCGCGTACATGGCGGGGAGCAGCCCGCGCGCGCCTCTGGACATGCGCGGCGTGGCGTGCGCATGGCGTGCGCGTGGGCGTGGGCGTGGGCGGCGTTGAAGGGCGTGGCTGGGTGCGGCTGACCGTGGCTGGGCGTGGCTGGGCGTGTCAAGCATGGGTGAGAGGACGCAAGCATGGGTGGAGAGAGGACGCAATGTCTCCGGACTGTCCCTCACCGGGCACTGGAGAAACCGTGCGCCGCCGGCGCCGCAGTGAGAAGGAGCGGCGGGTGGAGCGGCGGCGGCAGCGGCGCCGCCGCCGCCGACCCGAGCAGCGCAGCTGTGTGCTCGGGCGGCAGGTTGAGGTAGGGCGAGCTCAGCAGCAGCCGCGCACCCTATGAAAAGTTCTCGGAAAGCTCCTGGGCGGCTCCTGGAGGCAGCCGCGACTCCGCACCCTCGATCAGCCGAGAGTTGGCCGAGAGGTGGCCGAGGTACAGTCGAGGTGCAGCCGAAGTGCAGCCGAGGTGCAGCCGAGGTGCAGCCGAGGTGCAGCCGAGGTGTCGCCTCCTCACGAGCAAGCCTCAGCAGCAACCGCACCGCCTCGCCTTCGACATCGTGGCCGCAAGCGCCTGTGGATCAGTCCGTCCGTTGACGAGCTCGCGCCGCAGCCTCGCCCCCGCGTCGCAGAGACGCAGGCGCCAATCTGTGCCGCCGGCAGAACCCACACCCCTCCCGCGCTCGCAGGCCCTTCTGGCGGCGGCCCCGCCCTCTCGCGAGCCCGTGCAAAGATGCGGCAGACGGCGGCAACCAAACCCTCCGCCGCCCGCCCCTCTCTGCTGTGCTCGGTCGCCGCCGCCGCCGCCGCCGCCGCCGCCGGCGGCGGCGGCGGCGACGGCGACAGCGGCGGTAACGGCGACGGCGACAGCGGCGACAGCGGCGACGGCGACAGCGGCGGCGGCGGCGGCGACTGCGACGAGGAGCGTGGGCTTGTGACATCGGTGCCGGCGGCGGCGGCGAGAGCGACGAGGAGCTCGGAGAAGAGGTCGGCCAGCGGCGCGCAGCCTCGGAGGAGTATGCAGCGGTCCTGCCGCGCCGAGAAGTAGTCGGCCGAGACGTTGGCGCCGGTCAGCAGGACGTCGTCGTCAAAGACCGCGCCTTTGATGTGCTGCACTCCAACCACCTCCTGCAAGAGTGCCACCACCGCGGGAAGCGCCCGAGGACACCTCGCCAGGTTTGACGGCGGCGGGTTCATTTATATTCTCAGCCCAAACACTTAGTTTTCGCTTCTCATGTCCCTCTAGGTTCCCCCCTATCTTCTTAGTTTTCCCACTTTTTCT